ACATATCTGTTATGTGTTATACATATGGTTAAAAGGGATAGATTTTTTTCGATTTTGGAGTAATAAAAGGAACACAAAAAGGTGTTTTCGACTATCGTAAAGACCTATTTAATGGTAATCGATTAAATTTGGATTCTACAAACCAAAATCTATTAGAAACCCAATTTTCTTATGTTTTTTGTTTTACGTTAGAGGTGGTTTAGCGTATTGACTATCCCACGGAAATCACTCCCACTTTTATCAAGCGTTTTCTTACACGCAGTTGTTATTTAGCTAAGAAAAACACAAACAAAAATAATTAAGAGGGCTGCACGTAACGCGATAGTGTTGTTTATTTGCATTTTCCTCCCTAGTTAATTATTGTTGTTGATAATCGAAAGCGGAATAGCGAAAACAAATTTGATATAGAACCGGGAATTGGAACCCCCATGGGTTCTATGTGTTCTTCAGCGCGGTATCAAATTCCATCCATAACAATTGTACTTAATGTCGTAGCAGCTTTAAATAGTTTAACTGATACTCGGACGTTATGTGACTTGTTTTCCAACCATCGTTAATCGCGACCCCCTCTGGTTCCATGGGTTCTTCAGCGCGGTTCCAAACTCCATTCAAAACAATAGTGTTCAATGTCGTAGTAGCTTTAAAACGTTTAACTGATACGCGGACGTTATGTGGCAAATAGTTTTCCAACTATCGTTCTTTCCCATTATATAGCATCGATCGCGTGACGTAATAGAGCGATTTATGATGGGTCGCAACCTCGACTTTCGCTATTCCGCGTTTTTTTTCTTGTCAGATGGCCTGATTTTGTTTTACGTCAGATTCTGGAGTACAACAAAAGTATTCTTGCTTTCGTTAGTTTATATTCTAACCTTATCATTTTCATAGCTGTAGGTCTTTCCGCTTTCATCTAATCAAAATATTTGGAAAGTGCTAGCGTGTGGCACCACGGGAAGCTTGATTTCTTATCAATATGGCACATGGTACACGCGAAACTACTATTTTTATGACTACAATATGGAAGCATACATAGGTTCAATAAATATATTATCAGTACATAAGCCAAAAAGTGTCGACTTTAACATTGATATCATTTACATTTCTTTTATGAATCTTACGAAAGAAACATATAATAAAAGCAATATAATTGTTCATCATTGTTAAACTCAAGGGTGGGATCCTTAGTTTCTTATCAGCTACATAAACTGTGTTGGGGGTCGAGTGGCAAATAGAACAAAACAAACACTTCCAAACCACTCAAGGTTCTTACGTCATTTTCCCTCATAAACGGGGCGGGAAATGGTCAACAACGATAACACTGCCAAGAGCACCACTTGACCCTTTGGATGACACAATGACGCAAAACCCGCAGGCGTAGATCAGCAATCGGGGAAACGCGCGATGAGATAGCCCATTGAACCCGAAAATATCAATATTGTATAAGCTAGATTAGCAAGGGTAATAACTATATATGTAGTCGATCTTGTCTAAGTCAAGCTTCGAAATTTCTATAACTATTTTTAGATTAATTACAGCCCCCCTTAACCCTTTTTTCGGAATCTCTACTATATACAATTTGTTTTGCAGTATCTTTATTATGTTTATAATTTATCGTTGTTTTAGTATTTTAGTATTAATAGGAATCGGAATCAAAAGGCCAACATTTATGGAATAGCTTAAAGCTTAAATATATTTTATGTTGTTAAACTAACAGCATCCCACATTTCTTCTAAATTTTTCAGGCAGCATGACATCCGATTTCTTCCGGGTGGTGAACGAAGCACGTCGCTATTCTCTGGGACCCTTCAGTCCCTCCTTTAATATCCAGACCTGTTTGCTGGAGGGTCTACAGAAGCACCTACCAGATGATGCCCACAAGCGGGTGAATGGCCGCCTCCACATCTCGCTGACTCGGGTTTACGATGGAAAGAACGTGATCATCTCGGAGTTTGAATCGCGGGAAGAGGTTCTACAAGCGCTGCTATGCGCCTGCTTTATCCCAGGATTTTCCGGTATCCTGCCACCCCGATTCCGTGGAGTCCGCTATATGGATGGCGCCTTTTCCGATAACCTGCCCATCCTGGACGAGAACACCATCACGGTGAGCCCGTTCTGTGGCGAGAGTGATATTTGCCCGAGGGATCAGAGTTCGCAGCTGTTCCATCTGAATTGGGCCAATACCAGTATCGAGATCTCGAGACAGAACATCAATCGGTTCGTGAGGATCCTGTTCCCGCCTCGACCTGAGTTCCTGTCCAAATTCTGCCAGCAGGGATTCGACGATGCCTTGCAGTTCCTGCATCGCAATAATCTAATCAATTGCCGACGATGTGTGGCGGTCCAGTCAACGTTCGTCGTTTCCGAGACTGTGGCCCAGCCCCAGGAGTTCGATCCCGAGTGCAGGGAGTGCAAGAAGCATAGAAAGGTGAGGAGTTACCAGTATTATACTTTATGAACTATCACTTACTTTCGTTTATTTTTATTTTCCAGGACGCTTTAAGCTCAAACATGCCTCAAACAGTTCTGGATGTGATCCAGGACTATATCGAACAAGCTAATAAGGGCCTGGCCAACTGGATCTTCAAACATCGTGGTATTAAACTGCTTTCCCTTCCCGCCACAGTGCCTATGGACTTTCTCCTTGCTACCATTTCAAAGTAGGTTTTTATTTACCATTGTATAAAAAAAACCACGAATCATTCTGATAATCTGTTTGATACATTTTTAGAATATCAGCATTGACGCCAAAACTTACCAAGCAAGCAAGAATTATGGTGGAGGACTTTATTCTTCAGTTGAATAACGCCATGCATATTCGCCTCCTAAATAAATTCACGGTGAGTCAATTAAATGCTTACCTTTTGCTTACTTTGTTGATGCATTCAAAGTGCATCTAAAGTTTAGAGATGAGTAAACATTGCTGTTTTGACTGTTTTATATACTTCTGTTTCAAATAAAGTAAAATCATTTTTAAATTATATCCGAAATGAATTTCATAATTTGTAGATTAGGGTATTAGATTAAAAATACTAAAGGATTGCTTTTTATTACAGCTTTATGACCAACCCCACTTTGATGCCACTGGTCTTCTGCATTCCAACCGCCTATATGGACCTCGTGTATCAATTCTTGTGGACGAATAGTAAGCTAAATAAGAATATTTTTACCTGAGAAAAAATCTAATTGTTTTTCTGCTTTTAGTGGAGCCACCCCGCTGGAGGACGATGTCGATAACTTTGAGCATGTCCTCAAGATGACCACGCACAACGACGCTCTCTATGCCTATTACTACACCGACAGTAACACGAACAAGGTGAAAGTAACCGAGATTTTCGACTTTGACGAAATGACGGAGCACGACGAACTGGCCACCGACCTGCAAATATACGAAGGCTCAGTCGAGGATCACCCCAATCCGCATCAACACAGCCACAATACTGTTGTCAGCGAATGGAATGGCGTCGAATCAGGTTTGTACCTAAAGAAACACAATTCTTTCAAATCAAAAGCTCACTTCATTATCTAGAGAAAACGTATCATTTGCGAATTGAATCAACACCAAACATTTTTTGCAGTACAAATTATGCCCACGACTCCCGAACTACACGACGTAGCCTTTTAAAGCACTATCACACAGTTATCCAAAAATTAAACGACTATAAATGCACCTCCATTACCTTTAACCCACTCAAGCATTAAGTCCATATTTAAATTGGCAGGTAAATTACCAAAATTTCAATCAATTCCCCTTTATTCCTATTACAAAGTTTCATTTCACCAAATAAAATATTTTAAGTTGTTAAACTAAATGGTACTTTTTACTTTAATCCTCTACAGACTTCTTCATCGATGCCCAGACGCCGAATTCGGAGGATAGTAAAACAACAGCGCCACAATTTTCACGACTGGATCTGGAGCCCGAGTCAGATGCTAGCGTCCTCAGCGATCCTGAGGTGGATCAGAGTTTTAGCAGCTCTACGCACGGCAGCGAAATGTATATAGAAATTGAATGAGAAAGGGGAGGAATATGGGGGGTCCCATCTTAGGAACTGTAACGAAACATCTCCAAAGCGGCTCGTAGCAAAGCGAAAAGCCTAGTAGCGTTTCCATTAGCCTAATTAGTCTTAGTACGACCAACATATGTACCTAACTTAACTTAGCCGTATGCTGCCATTGTATCATCGCCAGTTTGTAAGCGGCAATTAGCAATTAATTGCATTCTTGTTATTAGTCACCCTCACACGACTTGTATTACATCAAAATCACATCTGTGTTTAGCCTAAGTTGATAATGTTTAAACAATAAAACAGTAAACAAGATTAAAAATCGGTGTCTATGACTAACATTCATTTATTGTTAGGAACAAAAAATTTCAATCTTTCTGGCAGTATTTAAATTTTAATTTTAAAAGGAAAAGAGGTAAACGGTTCGCCATTATAATTTTATATACCCTTGCAGTTATTACTAAACGACTACATTTCGATTTCTATGCCTATATTACTAAAAACAATGAAGCAATGTAGATTTTGCGCTGCATTTTGCCGTCGTTTCTATGGCAAAGTTTCAAGGAGTTAGCTTTAAAACAGAGGGACTAGTTTGCGTAGAAACGAACGGACAAGGACTAATTATTTATTCTATTATTATCATTTTATAATAGGATCAATTTTAAATTAATGTGTTACTCTGTGAATGCCCGGCCATTTTTAAGGATTTGAATTAATTTTTCTATGACTTTTTGTTTTTTGCTATTAATATTTATACTTTGTTTCAATTTCTACGGTTTAAAAATATTACAAAATATCTTCTAAATATGATATTTATAGTATTTTAATTTTAATTTTTATTAGTTTATTTTGTTAAAATATTTAAAATTTTTACGGTTTAAAAAATATGAAAATCTCGATATCTCTTAAATACGATAACGATATTAAGGTATCGATGACAAGTGAGCGGAATACCAGATTATGCACTTGGTCATTCTTAGCACATATTTTGTAAGCTGCAGCGGTCACACTACATTATTTTTCTTGCAGCCGACTTATTGTTTTGGTTTTGGCTAAAAAATTGCCATCAATTATCTTAAATTGTGTGTTAAATAAAAAGGCAACACGATGGAGGCGGTGCCGCGCTTGCACATGCTTTGGTTCGCTCTAAAGTCAAGTCCTGAGGGAACCTCCTTTGCGGCATTGAAAAAGGTAAAGAGAGAGAGTCGGGAAAGAGGGAGTGGAAAAAATTAAGAGAGTCCGCTAAACAAAGAGGAGCCCAATTAGTTGAACTTAATTATCGGCCGTCTGGGAAAAATGAAATTTAAATTGTCAATATTGCTGAAGCGAAGTAAATGCATTTTTCTTTTTCCCATTTGCCCCTCTGTGTAAACCCTCTTTGTCTGGCGCTGAGTCATCGCCGTCATCTGATTAACTGCCCAAACAACAATGAGTTATAAACAAATATTGGTGAGAGGTTTGTAGGTAATTGCACCCAGGTATTTTTTACCTTTTTGGGAACCTTGAGCCGATAAAAATTGAAATACATTTCATATTAGTTTTCAAACACTTCAATAAAAGCCAACTTACCAAGTTAAATGCCTGGGGGAGATTTATCAAATTCGAATTTAATTTATTCAAATACATCCCGAATTTACATCAAATATTCTACGAAACATCAAAATTACACTTACATTTTTACGTGGTTTACTGATTTATACGTTTTTATAGTTAAAATTTTAAAATAATATAATAAAAGGTTTTTGTTAATGAAAAACTTTTCATGTTGTAAACCGATACTTGATTTGAAAGTAACTTATTTATGAAATTCATAAAATCGTTAGTATAAGTAATCCGATTTATTTTTTAAAGTGGAATGTTACCAAAACTTATACACGTATTTTACAAGGTAGTCAATTCTAATAGTTTTTTAACGGGAAGACCAACACCATTGCCTAAATCAATAATACGCGCATTCTGCAAAGCAATTTAAGCTTCACAACTTACTTTAAATAAATAATTTAAACTACTCTCATTTTCTTTTAGTACATTGCGGAATTCTACCATGAGGACCCTGAGGCCTTTTCCAAGGAGGTCCATGCCCTGGAGACCCTACGAAACCAGGCGATGCACACCACCAAGGATGGAGCACCGGTGATGAAGCGCTACTACTGCCAGCTGCACGCCCTTCAGAATCGGTTTCCCCAGCTGACCGAGCGCGGGATCTTCACTTTTACGTGGAAGGATCTCTACCACAGTGCCGTTCACGAGGTTAGCGACCTGCGGTTCGAGCGGGCCGCTGTGCTGTTCAACATTGCCGCATCCCACACACAATCAGGAGCATCGGTGACCCGTGGCGATGTCGATGGCATGAAGATGGCCTGCACCCACTTTCAGGCGGCCGCTTGGGCCTACGGAGAGTTAAGGGAACGTTATGCCAATGTGAATAGTGGCGGGGACTTCATGACGCAGGAGTTGTTGGTGTTCCAGCAGCAAGTGTGCTTTGCTCAGGCCCAGGAATGCATCCTGGAGAAGTCACTGATTGATAATAGGAAGCCACACATCGTGGCAAAGGTGACGGCGCAGATTGTGGTCTACTATGGAGCTGCCCTGGCGGCTCTGCTTACGGGAGGAGATGAAGGTCCAGTGGCGCAGGTCATCGATAGCTCCGTGTACAAGTTGTGGAAGAAGTACGTCCGCTTCAAGATTAACTATCTGAACTGCATTTTGTACCTGTACCAGGGGCAGCATTCCGAGGAGAAGCGTCAGATGGGCGAACGGGTGACGCTATACCAGGTGCGTACCTACAAATCCATATAGAAGTATCTAAGTCTGAAGTAATTTGTACTTTAAACCTAATACAGGCTTCTTGGGACAAACTAGAGGAGGCGCGCAAAGAGTCTAAGGGTCTTCCCGATCAGCGTGAGATCAATGAATCCCTTAGCTTCACCGCTGATGTGGTGGAGGCAAAGCGCAAGAATGCCAAAAACGAGAACGAGTTTATTTACCATGAGGCTGTGCCGGAACTCTCGACCATTGCGGCTGTACAAGGTGCCAATTTGGTCAATGGAATTGGTTTTCAAGTAACCGACGAGGAGCACTCGGGACCAGATCTCTTTGCCAGATTGGTACCCATGAAGGCCCACGAAGCCAGTTCATTGTACAGCGAGGAGAAAGCCAAACTGTTGCGAAAGTACGGAGCCCTGCTGGAGGAGAAGGACACGCAACTGGAAGCCTACATGAGCTCCCTCACCCTGGATAATCTAAATATCAACGAAGAGCAGGCCAACAAGTTGCCTCAGGGCATTGTAGATCGCTGTGCTGCCTTGAATGCAAACAAGACAGCTATAAGCGACCTTGTAGAGGCCATGTCTCAGCTGGCTGAGATTACAGCTGATGTGGAGACAAATCTCGGGGAGATTTCCCATATGCTGGAGACAGAGGCCAAAGCGGAGCGGGAATTCCAATCCGCCAGTGGCGTCCAGCGAACTCCAAATGCCCATATTACTGAGCTAACTCGAGAGTTCCAGAAATATAGTGAGGCCCATGCCCGGGCAGGCGAATCCAACAATACCCTGAGAAAAGCCATGAGTCTGCATGTGAATAACCTGAAAATCCTGGCCAGACCGTTGGTTGAAATTCAACAACTGATGCCTAAACTAAGTTCGGAATTAAATACCACCGAAATCTTTAGGGATGTGAAGCTGATCCTCAATAAAGTCAACGAAATGAAGGCCCAACGAGCACAATTCCATGCAGATCTGAGGATAGCCATTAATGAGGATGATATTACAGGCAAAGTAATTGCCCATGGTGGACAAGAGGGACTCCAAGCTTTATTTGCCACCGAACTAGGCAAGCACGATAAGATAACCGAACTTCTGGACCAGAATATGGTGGCTCAGGCCAATATTCTGCAAGCTCTAACTGAAAACTATGCCAAGGCGGCACCTGTTTTGAAGACGCTCCAGGATGTGAAGCAGAAACGGGAGCACTTCTACAGCTCGTTGGCTGCCTCCTATGATGTTTATGAGGATCTGCTGGCCAAGTCTGCGAAGGGTTTGGAGTTCTATAAGAAGCTGGCCGGAAATGTGCAGAAGCTCCTTACCAGATTTAGATCCGCCAGGGATGTTCAGTCCGAGGAGCGACAGCAAAGGATGCAGAGCGTCAAGGCAGCCACACCTCCGGTGGTCAGCAAAGTGATCACAGAAGCAGCACCTTCGCCAGCGGTCAGTAGCACGCCCAAACTGAGGGATTACCTTAAGGCCAAGGCAGCAATGGCGGATGCCTCGAATCCCGCCACTCCGGGCTACGTGCCCACAGTGCGTCCCGTGCCGGTGGGTTCGGAAAATCCCACCCAGGCCGCTTGTTCCTATGCCACTGCACCACCTAATGAGCCACCGCCACCTTACAGCCTCACCCAGCAGCAGTACTTTGATCCCAGTGCCGCAGGCTACACGAACCCCATGTATCAACAGCAGCAGCAGCACATCGCCCCTCCGGCTTACAAGGCTCAAGCATCGCCGAACTCCCAGTCGCTCCACGGAGCAATGGCTCAGATGAATCTGCAGGCCCATGTGCAGGACAACAGCCAAGCGGACTCGGGATACAGCTATGGGTATCCCAGTGGAGCAGTGCCTCCGCTGGCTTATGCTGCGCCCGGATCAGCTCCTGCAAGCTCAGCTTCCCAGGGATTCAACATTCAGCAGCCTTTGTATGTGGCCACATCGGGCAATCCCAATCCGGTTTCAAATCCCAGCGAGCTGCCCCCCTCCCTCCAGGCTCCTTTTGTGGTCAATCAGATGTCCAATCAGTACCAGGGAACAGGGGGATATCCGGGACAGGGATATTCACAAATTGCTCCTCAGCAACAACAGGTGTCTTATCCGCCGACAGCTTCTGGATACCTACCAGGTCAGGCAGCTCAACAGCCCATTGGATATGCTCCAAATCAGGCGGCGCAGCAGCAACCTGGAGGGTATCTCCCATCCCAATCACCACAGCAACAGGTGGCAGGCTATCCCCAGCAGCCATCAGCGGGATATCCCCAATCTCTTACGCCGCAGCAACCTCCAGGATATCCCCAGTCACAGACACCTCAGCAACAGGTCTTGGGTTACTCGCAAACCCAGCAACCTACAGGACTTGGCCAACCACAGACACCGCAGCAGCAAAACACAGGATATACACATACATCACTGCAACAAACTTCAGGGTATACGCAATTCCAGACACCACAGCAACATACGACAGGATTTCCCCAAGCACAGACTCCGCAGCAACAAGCAGCAGGATATCTTCAACCGCAGACACCGCAGCAACCCCTGCAATACCAACAGCAACCATCTGGCTACACTCCTCAGCAGCAATCAGCGGCACTTGCTGCTCAACAACCATCACTGTATCCTTCGCAGCCTGTACAGGCTTCACCTCAACCCATTTCAGGCCACCAGGGCTTGCCAGTCAATTCTGTGCAGTCTTTGCAGTATCCACAGCAGTATAGTGATCCCAATGCAGCTCCAGTTTCAGCTCCTGGAGTGTCTCCTGTCCCAAGTCCAGTTCCTGCGCAAACTCCTGTACCCACTCCATCTCAAGCTCCAGTTCCCGCATCTCCCCATCCTTCAGGAACCTACACCAGCTACTCCAACCATCCCGGCTACAGCTTCAATCCGCAGACGGGAAAATACGAGTACAGCAGTGGCTATCAGCAAGACAGCAGCTCCTTAAAGGCATCCCAGGGATCTCAGGGCTACCAGTTCAGCCAGAGTGGCAAGCAGCAATTGGTGGGAACCACAAACTCGGAGAACGCCAATCGCAGTAATACGGCCACTGGATTTGATGTGAGTCATACTTAACTATATTTTCGAGACCCTAAGTAAAGTATTCATCTTTTTAGTCACCCGTCGTGTCCCACACCAAGGCTAATGTGCCAGTCACGGACTCCACTTCGGCGGAAGGGGATAAGGAGTCGACCAACTACTACACCACTCCCTATGGCTACCACGGCAACCAAACCCCCCAGCCGCAACAACAACAGCCCACTCCTACGCCTCCAACGAATCCCACCAGTTCCATTTACATGCAGAGCGGGGCGTCCAGTACTGCCCACACGCAAACGACCACCAGTGGACCGCCCTACGCCTCCTCCACCGCTTCTGCCAAAGCGGAACCCAAGTCGGAAGTAGTGGCTCCTAAGGTATCTAGCAACGTGGATCTACTTAGTGACCTGGACATCGACTACTCAGTGGCTGTTCCGCCGCCAATGTTGCCGCAACCCGTTTTGCAGCCCCAAGTGGTAGCCACACCCACTCCACCAGGAAGTCAGGTGTCGGTTCCCATTAAAGCCGAAAGTGTTGTGGAGGTGAGCATATACAAATAACCTTGTCTCTCCCCGTAAGTAACTTTCTTCTCGATTTCTTCCAGCCCGCTGCTCCCACATCTCCGGATATTCCACCAGTAGTCACCGAAGAAGCCACTCCAACTGCAGCTTCAGTTCCCACAGCTCCAAGATGCACCAGTGTGGACAACCTCTCCATTTGCTCTGACCTAAGTTCCCTGGAGAATTTCGACTGGGACTCTGTATCCCTTACACATTCCGCCAGTGAGAAACAGTCAAAGGCCTCAGCAGCCAATGGCCATTCGAACAGTTTTGCATTCCAAGCCGAAACATTCACCGATGAAAAGACAACGAAATATTTCCAAAAGGAGGTGGAGAGCTATGAGAAGTTGCTGGAGAACCTGCACGTGAAAATGCTAAATGGAAAGACTCAACTAGGGGCCAAATGGCAGGAGTTGCAGCAGAAACTGGAAAAAGAAGCGAGTGCCAACAAGCGATCCACCACTATTGCGAAATTGTTTCCGGAGAAAAATCGATCACTTGATTGTCTGCCCTACGATCATGCTAGAGTTAAATTGGATAAGCAGACAGATGATTACATTAATGCGGCTTACATGAAGGTAAGATTTGCATAAGATTTGCTTAGACCACAAACTACCATTCCATTTACAATGGCCACAATTTTGAACAATGTTTTTATTTAATGTTATCAGAACTTAAGTGCCGGCTGTCCCAACTTCATAGTTGCTCAGACCCCGCAGCCGAATACCATCAACGATTTCTGGTCCATGATCTGGTCGGAAAAATCACGAACTGTGGTCTGCCTGCATACCCCAAATGAGGTAAGATATAGTACAAGTTCTGTAACGATTTGTAATTTACTTGTTCCATATTTTGTGTTAGCTTTTTGATCCCTACTGGCCACAGGCATTGGATCAGCCCACTCACTATGATGACTACACCGTGACCTGTGTGAAATTGCAGCAACTAAGCCACTGCTCCGAGTACCAGCTAAAATTATCAATGCATGGAGCAGATGCCGTTCTAGACGTATCTCTTCTTCAGCTTAAGCAGTGGACCAAGGGGTAAATATCTAAAATTAAGTCAACTGATGACTATTAACCTATTTTATTGGCATTATCATAGATCACCGGCTCAACTTCTGGGAGTGGCTGAAAATGCGCTGGAGACCCATCGACAGCGCTGCCAGGAAGCTAATGCTCCCAACTCGCCGCTCATTATGAACTGTTTAACAGGCTCAGAGCGTTCCGAACTGATGGCCATTGGTGTTTGTGCCATTATAGCCACTCAGAGCAAGCAGCCAATTCTTATCAGTGAGTACATGTGGTTTACACAAAAGTTTCACCAAATCAATTTGATTAAATCCCGACTTAATTTGTCGGATTTTCATTTAATTTGCTTGCTCAAGGAAACAATGCTTTAAATATTTATAGAATTTCCATGCAGGTCTAAATGTAATATTAATTGTTTCCCATTAGATATCGTTGATGTTTGGTCGCGGATTTGCGGACAGCGTCAAAACTCTCTGCGAGATTCAGCCATTCTGGAACAGTCCATGCAAATTTTACTATGCAATGCCCACAACGTGCTTAACAAACGTAAGAATCAGAATATCCATATACAATTTTCCAAATTACAGTTTATTTCTTTGCGACCCTGCAGGTGGCATAATGACCTCATATCAAATGAAAATGGCGCCGCAGGTGACTGCTAAGGACCAGCAGGAGACGAAGGATCCGCTCAACGAATTGGATGCACTCTGGAAGCTGAAATAAACGACTGAACCAACCAATCAATCGCGGCAAATAACTAAAGCTATATGTTTAATCAAACCGATTATTTATACAACTATTTAACTGTGCAAATCTATTTCTAAAGATCTGATATTGTTGCAAACAATTTAAAACAAGAGAAAAGTATTTAAAGGGATATCGAGATCATTTTCTAATCTATATCGTGATTGTCTTGTTATAAAAAGTATATTTCGAAGCGAATTGAACCGTGATGTGTTAATGGGATATTGTCAAGCGTTTCAAACCACTCTATACAAGTTTATTATATATCAATGAAAATTACTGGATATTGTCACACATTTATAACTAATAAAATATCTTCAAAATCAAAGCAATCCATGTGAAACATGTCAGTATAAGCAACTCGTGCCGATTTGATATCTATCATGAGGGTGATTAACATTCGTTGGGGAACCTGCCTGCCTGGTTTCGTTGCGATAACTTATTTGCTGAGTGCCCTGCTGTTTTTTGGAATGGATATAACCAACGTACAGCCGGTGGAACCGCGAGCTATAAAAAACCAGACCAAAGTAGTCCGTAAGTCCCGCCCGTTTGTGAAAACCATCCGTACTCCAGATGACCGTTCCTGGGATCAGGTGGTTACCAACCCGGAGTTAAAACCCCGATTTCGGTTTAGCGGTGGGAGGACGGGAGTCAAGTTCGTGATTGGAGTGCCCACTGTCCTGCGACCCAAAAGAAATTACGTGCTCCAAACCGTGGACTGCTTGATCCGGCGGATGAGGCCGGAGCACCGAGACCAGTGTTTGATTGTGATCTTTGTGGGTGAAACCAAGCTCCAGTTTACCAAGTTCATTGTTAAGGAACTAACGGCGAACCATTCGATGCATATGCGAGCAGGTCTCATCGATGTGATTGCTCCCCCTTTGAATTACTATCCCAACTTCTCGAGACTCCACATCACGCTGCACGACGATCCGCAGAGAGTTCAGTGGCGGACCAAACAGAACCTGGACTATATATACCTGATGTCCTATGCCAGATCGAAGGGTTCTTACTACCTGCAGCTGGAGGACGACGTGATGTCGAACAAGGGCTTTATGGACTACATCCAGAAGTTTGCCCTGCTGCATGGTCGCTTTCGGTTCGCCCACCAGCCCGACTGGATTGTGATGAGCTTCAGCGACTTGGGTTTCATAGGGAAGCTCTTTCCCACCTCCGTTCTCAAGTCCTTTGTGGCCTACTTGCAGTTGTTTAGCAATGAGCAACCCATTGACTGGCTCCTTCAGAGTTTTGTGGCCCTGCAGAGCTGTCGCTGGGACAGTATTTCCCATCCAAACTGCCAAAGGGACATCGGATCCAGACTAATTCGAGCCGCACAATCCCAGTTCCAGCACATGGGCGCATTATCCTCGCTGGCGGAGAAGGTGCAGCACCAAAAGGATGGTTTATTCAACCGGAATATTGGGAGGCAGCGCATGCAACACCTGCGACAACCCCTCAACCTCATCTCTTCACATCGGAATTCGCTCTTAAGACAGAATCTCCACCTGGAAACGGGCGAAACTTTTATTTGGCTTTATATGCCTCAGATGCCCGAGATAATGAAGTATCTGATTAGAAATCAGTACAAGAAGTCGCAGATCCGTATCCGTAATGCCAAGGACTCGTCCACAAATCTGGCAGAGTTCAACGTAGATTTGGTGCATAAATCGCCCACTTTGGACGCGAATAGCTCATTCAACGAGCACTGTGGATTCGTTATGAGCCACACCGTCCTAGGGATAGACAATAATGATGCGCATGGCGACGAGCTGCCCTTCAATTACATGTTCTTCTACATCAGGGAGGAACCCCAAGGCCTAACCTGGTTCCGCCGATTCCTTTGGGGCTCGGACTTCAACGAATCTCGTGCCTACCAATTGGGATTACCATCGCATTTATTTTATTTTCTTACTTTTTTTTGGTTTGTTGAAATTAAATAAAAAATTTAAAAACAAAGTTAAGCGTATTTCTGTAATTAAATAAAACGACTATATGTGTATGCATATGTGTATGTGTTTAAAAAAATTAAATTTTTAAATTATTTTCCTCGATTGTTTCTATAAGAGTGATATAGTCAACCGATTCGTACTGTTCTGACTTAAGTACTATCTGCAAATAAATAACAGTTTTTCCAGATACCTTTAAAACTGACTGAATTTCTTTTTTTTTTTAATTATTGGTTACATTTTTTTTGTGCCTACTATAGGATAATTATTTTGATCATTTCAAAACGTAAAAAAGCCAATTCACAGAAATTGGAAAAATTGGAAAATCGAAGCTTTTAAAGGTTTTAATTTGTTAACGAATAAATTGTATACATATAGTCTTATTCTGATAACAAGACCACTCTTTGAAAAACGTGCATCTACTGTGAATTTATCCATTCCAAACTAATTTAAAAAAATATTAAAACCACATTAAAAAATTTAATTTCAAATACTTGAAATATTTATTAAGCTTATACACACATTACACGCATATTTGTTGTTCTTGTTTGATTTCGATTAAGTTTTGAGTTGTCCCAACGGCTTATGAGTAGTGTAAAAGTAATTTGTAATAATTCAGCTACAATCGTTATGTGTTTTTGTGTCGTGGAAGGGGAAGCCTATAATGCCAGCTATTCTATAATTCAGTTTGATCATTATCAACTATTATTGTTGCTTGCTAATTGGTTGCAATTTGGCAAAATGGGTGTTTGGTGGAGAGCGAGTGCTGTAAATTATTGTTGCTGGTTGCCGCACACATAACACAGGGATATATAAAAATATATTTATGTTTGTATGATTACGCATTAGTAAGTATATGCAAAACATTTATTTAATTTGTTCAGTTTATCGAAAGCAGTCTACAATATTTGTTTCTTTATATATAGCGGCATATGAATCGAAATGGGATAATATTTAGAAAGTTCAAAATTTCGATAATTAAACTTATAAAAATATGCCACTATATATTACAATTCTCGTTACACAACAGGAACCAAGTTTAAACAATCATCATTCTTATTTATTCGTTTATAGTTTTGTCATAGTCTATCAAAAAATTTGGCATTTCCAATTAGTTAAACCAATCATAAAATTTGTCGCATGTATATAAAAAAGGTTTTCTTTGTACGACTTTTTTAAAATTTTGTTTTACAATTGCTAATCAGCGTTGTTTTTATATATACGTGTATATATAATTTAGGTATTTAGTTTTTTCATTGTTATGCAAAAATTATTAACAAATCACAGTAAAAAAGCAACAATGCTAAAAATCGTTTCGTTATTTTATGCTTTAATGTTTATGGTAATGCATATTATATTTATGTAGTTATGGCTTATGTTCAAGGAGGTGGCTAAATATAACTGATTTAGGCATGTTGGATGAACTCATTGAGTTAAGATAAATTATTAGATAGTAGAGGAATAAGTTTAACCAATTACTACAGAGATTTAACTTAGGTTTAACAATGTTTGATTATACCTTAATTTGATCGATAAGATTTCAGCTAGTTCGAGATACTTGATCACTTTTAGATTCAGCAAATGAAAACAAAATAAACTGGAATGTTTCTTTTCGGCTGCCGATAAAATAAGGTTAACACTTAAATCTAACGCTAAATAAACGAAAATAAAATATTCGAATAACATAGGAATACGGGGAATCGCTTCAGTTACATAGCCCACAACTTGACCCACATATTATACCAATACATTTTAACACCATGAAAAAATGGAAGGGGCACTTGGAGTACATCGAATCCATATGGATATACGCAAAAATATACTGATAGCTTGGGGTTTAAATGAGACTTATATCAGACTGCAGACCAGTGATATTATTTAGGCTTGTAACGCTTAAGTTAAAGAAACCCTAACGAATTGGTTCTGGGGATATATGGCAATATTATTCGCCTGCAGCCCTACATAGGTCCTGTTGCTAGGGACAATCACTTACAGTTAGGAGAGCGAGAGAGTTACGTTCTGGGACATTATTTACACATTGAGATAATCGAGGATAAAAGCATCATTCGAAAAATATACACACAGATGTACAGATATTAGGATGGGTCGATTCGTTTCAATGCAAAAAACATGAAAAAGTCTAGGAAGCAAGAAAGAATCTTCACAAACAACAAACACTTTTTTGAATAATCAAAAGATAACTTTTGGCTCCCATAACTTTTTCTCAACGAAATCGACCCGATCTTAACAGATATAGACAAATTGTGGAAAGGGATTAGATTAGACTTTAACTAAGGGAGGTCTAAAGGAGTTGTGTGACTGGATTTCGTTCCTATTCCTCCCAGTCCTGTCGCTGCCGGTGACGATGTAGCAATCAGCTACCCGCCACAAACCGTGGCTTCGCCGCATTCGCCTCCGACTTGGGATCGCTGCCCCACTCCTGCAGTTCGATTTCGCTAAGCAGGGCCCAATTCTCGCTGTCACTGTGCACGTGGAGGCGCAATTCCTTGATGGCCCCGATCTTCGCATCCAAGAGGCCCTCGGCCACGCCCAAACTATCGAACGAGCCCACCACCAAGTAGCCATCTGTGGTGGTGTTGTAGTTGCTCCAAACGGAGGAGTTCTCGCTCAGCGTATCCGCCGGCAGGAGCTCCACTGTGGTGTTGTAGAACCTATCCGACGGGTGCTCCGAGTTTCCGCTCCGGAAGAGATAGTGCCGCAGTTGCGTGGGGCGTTCGAAGACGATCTGCACCAAATCTCCAGGTTGGGGCAGCAAGCCCCAGAAATAGGATTCTCCCCTATAGGCCCGCTTCAATAGATAGTTCTTGTACGGAGCAATGTTGGACTTGACCAAAGCGGGTGGATTATGCGTGTGGGCATAGTACTGCGGCACCTTGCTTCCGAACTGCTTGTCCTTAAGCTTTTGAACCTTGCCCCTCAGCGAAGAACTAGTACCAATGTGTTGAAACAGGGATTTTCGAAAGTGCTGCCAGTACTTTGCCTTTTCCTGGTTGCAATGCTTCTGGTCCTTGTCCGTGCGGCATACCTTGGACTCAATAAAATAGGTGAGTAACCAATCCACGGGTTTGTCATTGTAGAACATTTGGAAGTAGGTGATCAAGTAGGGTAGCTCGGCACTCTTGAACATCTTGCCAATAAAGCCCAGCTGGCAAAAATCCAATACAAACCAGGCCGGCTGGTCGGGCTTGGTCAGAGCGCTCTTGATCAAGGCGAATTTCTTCATTGTGGTGATAAACTGCCGCTTGGTCAGTATATCGTCCTCCAGTTGGACGTAAAAGGTGCCTTTCGAATGGGCATAGGCCATCAGGTAGGCAAAGTCCAAGTTCTGTTTGCTGCGCCATTTTACGCGCTCCAAAGGGTCGTTCAGGGTGATGCGAAGCCGCTCGAAATTGGGATAGTAACTCGGAGCAGGTGCTATTATATCAATCAGTCCACTGTCCACATGCTGCTCGAAACTAGTCTCGATTTGGCGCGCAATCAATTGCACTGAGTCCAGATCCGTTTCCCTATATAGACAATGATCAGCGTTTCGTTTTGCTCTTCGTCGTTCATGTTTTCGATGAGATTGTGGAGGGTGCCGAGCAAATACGATTGCTTCTCCCTCCGCACCGTGGGCACGCCTAGAACAATGCTGACATCCGAACGACCCTTGCTTTGCAGGTAGGCCGGACGCAGGGAGCCCGCATCATCCAGGAGATGCGGCAAGAAGTGATAGGCGTTCGGGAGTCGTATATTCTGACTCCTGGCCATCGAACCATTGGCACCGCCCCCTTTACTGAAGTGCGAGGCATTTCTCAGCAGCTGCCTGGCCTCGGGACTCAGTCCGTCGAGCAGATTGACCACTGGCAGCGGCGGCGGCGGGGGAGCACTGGCTCCCGTCCCATTGACACTCTGCAACTGGCCCAGGTACTGAGAGAGCAACGCCACATCCTCCTGGCGGGCACGGTACACGGACTCCAGGTACTGCAGCCGCATGTGGCATTCGGCCAGGCGCTGTGTCAGCGACTGTTCGGTGGATAGCTCGGGTCCCATCACCATCAGGATCACTATGCAGGGCGCCAGCACCAGGGCCGTCACAATCAGCATGCAGTTCCGCTGCCTAATCTTGAACATCTTTCGTTGGGCGCTCGTCTGGAATCCTTCGCTGGCTATTATATTAATTAGCTAACTGTTTGCCTTGGGGCTGCCTTGCTTCCGCTTCTGGTTTGGCTTTTGGTTCTGGCTCGGTCCCTGGTTGGTTGTGCTGGCGCCGTTCCCCTGGGCCGGCTGTCATCCTCATCCCTCCTATGACTAATGCAGGCGCTGCAAAAAAAAACAGAACATTTAGTTTTTACACGTGCAAAAATATTTGATAATATGCCATTTTCATACATTTTGTAATATTATAAAGTTATATACCTAACAGTTTATTTTAAATTAAAATGTTTGCAAATATATTAGTGACAGTTTCTCAGTGATACGATTTTAAAGAACAAGTCCCCATATATTTTTGTATATTTTCGAAGATTTTAAATTACATTTAAGACCCGTCTAAGCGATATGTCTATGTATTCCTGTGTGCCCTTTTATTTGCTTTGAAATACAATATTATTTTCCTATTTAATACAGGAGTAGCTGTTAATTTAATTGAATATTTTGTATAGTGTGATGGGGTAGCCCATATGGGGGTGGGGCCTGAAGGTCGCACCGTTTAACGGCTCTTTGTAGTCGTCTTTTTTCTTACCCGAGTTGGATTAACGACGTCGTCGGTGGTGGCAGCTGTCGCAATTCTCGCCACATGACCTGGCCGTGGGTATAGAATAATAATAATTGTTATGTACTGTGCACTCGAGACGATGGCAGGCAGTAGACTTTTAGACTTACATGGCCAAGAGACCGGATAGCTTTGTTCTCCTCCTCGCCGGTAAAAGTTCGATCGGTGGGTCTGAAAAGGAGGAAACACTGTTTACTGCTTGTTAATTTGAATCGTTGGGTATGGCAGTGCACAAAAGGGTATATTTGGCATCAGATATGAGTATTGGGCTAGTCGGTTGATCCTTAGGGTGAAGGGCTTTACAACAAAGGATCTGCTTAGTATTATTAATTAAGCCCCAAGGAGTATGGCAGCCTAGAGACCAAAGCTAAAAATAAATGTCATTTATGCCGCCATTTAGCGACCGAGTCGAATAAATTAAAACTTGTAATATATAATTTTTATTATTTTATTACTTTTACTGTAAGGCCGAATAACCAGAAAAAAACATTTCCATTAAAAATGAGACCAGAACCAGAAATATGAATGAATATTATGAACGGGAAGGTACATACACATATATTTATACGTTAAAATTACAGATCATATACCTACATACATAAATTATAGGACAAAATAACGAACTTTAACAAATTTGATTGTCATTTTTTATGGCAGATTTGTTATATAACACCCCGACTTTTAAGGGGTTCAAATGGTTTTTCTAAAATTGTATACAACGACCTTAATCTTGTTTTTGTTTTAGAAACAATGAAGTTATCATAATATGGCAAGATTATTTTTAATGGCACCTATAAATTATGAATGTATACATGTTGTTATATATCTTAATAACTAGAAAAAACGTTGTTTAAGTCTTAACCAGTTTTCTTCAGCAGATCAGGAATATGTATTTACAATCGAACTTTTTCCTTTTAGCCAAGACTTCAGTAATTAAGTTAAAGTTATAGAACGAATGAACTGCACATATATCTATATTAACACTAAATTACCAATGAAGCCAGGTTGCCATAGGGTAATGTTATCGAAGTATTACTGTATATTTTATTTGCTAACGTATGGTATAAATCCCATAATAATAGGAAAAAACCCCAGGTACCGGGTATCAAGTATTCGAAAGCAAAGCGAATTTTAGGGGAATGTGCGAACGTTAGCCATTGGGGATCTCAATTTTCGCACTCTGTTTAGTATACGTAGGCGAAAGTAAACAATGGGCTAAAGTTTAACAGATAAATAGGTAAATAAACAGCAACACCCAAAAGTTCGCACCAACGCCCACACACACACACACTCACGCACAGCCCTATTTACTCACACTTAATTGCAGCACAAATATACGAGTAAATGAATTAATAAACACTTAAATAGGAACAGATTGAACGCAGTGACTGTTATTTATCCATCTATGGATTTTGTACACTGAGTATTTTCGCCAATTCGCCGTTCTGCCGTTTTTTGGTTCCCCTGATTTTTCGCCATACGCGCTTTTTGCTCGCCAATTGTTTTCACATCTTTCTTCGCGTGTCCCCGCGTGCGTTATGTAAATGCAAATGATGTAAATTATTGCAGCACCCGCGATTGCGATTGTTTAATGCTATGTACAGCGGGGAATTAGTTTTAACGCCCCGAGCAAAAACAACAACAGGCTGGCTTTGGCTGCAATCAAACAATCGTTATCGATAGTTGTGGGTACATAGTGCTGCCGGACCGTCGATTTCAATATGGCATCTCTGGTCTTAACATAGGTCAACATCTGTTAAATAGGAGAAACAACAGGTACCCAAAGTCCTCCCATCTCTAGCGGCTACATTAACAACAAAAGATTTTTGCAAAAGTATGTTTTTAACTCTACTAAATGGTCGCGGTTTCGTTTTCAATGTTGACGGTAAGCGTTTACTTCCCTATAAAAACAAATTCAAAATATGTCCCTGCGTTATTTAGATTATATGGAACTGCGAAGCAAACATCGTATAATGGGTGCTCCAGTGGGTACTGCGAACACCAAAGGCTGGAGTCCCAATCAGTCAAGTGAGTTTTCCTAATACTAGGTATACTTAATGTAGGAATGCTTCTTTCAGTCTAAAAAGAAAGATATTTGGTCATTTAGGACAGATTTTTTAATGTCAAGTTAAGTTGTGACATTAAGAGAGATTAGAGATTACCTGTCTGAAAAATGTTAGCTGAAGGCAATGTATCAGTTAAAGATTTTTGGTCAGCAAAAACCAAAAAGAAGACTACTCTTTAATTTTAGGTTCTGAAGTCCGAATTTTTTACCGACAACACAAACTGTAAAAATTTGTGTTTTTAAGAATTAACACCACACGAAGAAACTTAAATATTATAATATATCTGCAGGTATTCTTAATTAAGATAAATTTCTCCTTGCAGCGCTTCCAGTGGAACTTAGTAAATTCGAAACCCAGTTAGCTTTGGATGAAAATATCGCAAAGTTAGTGGACAAATCTCAAGCCTTAACAACTCCACCAACAGTTGAGAAACTGAAGGAGTACAAAACTGATTTCGAAAGTCAATTAGTGTGTCAGAAAGAAGCACTAAAGACCGAAAAGCTTCGGGAAACAGAACGTTACATCGAAAGAATACTTATGGGCAAACGGAAGAAGTTGCTCAAGCAGGGAAAAGATGAAATGGGTAAGCCCTAAAACTAAGGATTTTATAACAACAAAATGGTTGTCATTTAAGATTAATTTGTACTCACTGGATTTTGTTTTAACAACATAATTTAAAAACATTCTAAAAGTTATTTTAAAAAACTTATTACGATTTGCCTTATTCTTTATTACATATTACAGTTATTTACCGTTTATATTTTAGCTAATGCTCTAACTTCCCAAGATGTACTGAAAGAAGTGTCGGACAACTTTAAATTTGATCGTCAAAATGCCTTGGTGGAGGTGCCTTGTGAACATCTTAAAAATCATTGTAGGTGAGCAACTAATAATATTTGTTAATTTTCCAGTTCTAAAACCGTCTTAAATACCTACAGCTGCAAAAATAGTTTCCGGACCTGTGGTGAACATAAATTCCCTAAAATATCGAATTTTCAAAGATCTTTGGAAACAGGGAAAGTTTGTGACCTCGGGTGAAGCTTTCGGAGCGGACTTCCTGGTGTACCCCGGTGATCCCCTCATCTACCACGCCTCACATATTGTGATTGTGCAAGATACACCTGTAATTAAACCCTTGGAACTGGTGGCCAAAGTTCGATTGTCTGTTATTGTTAACAAGTGCTGTGTTTTCGCCTACGAGAAAGACAATCACGAGGGGATCCATTATCAAACTGTGGCTTGGTGCAATCCCAGCAAGTGAGAAAATTAAAGGCAAGTCAAAACGAATAAATTAAAGAAATTCATAACCAGGTTCAAAATTTTTTGACCACTTCCCCATAAAATAAATTGTTAATTAACAAAATTTCAAAATCGTATAAAACTTAATGCCCCTTGATAATTAAATAACTAAACAATTTACTAAAATATGAATATTAACCAAGAAAACCTAAACCTATTATTTCTGAGCATTATTTTTCTAAAGGGGTATAACACAAACATATATGCTCATATGTCAGCATATTAAATCTACGATAATCATTTTTACCACGATTAATCAATATTAAGTATATACTTATAATTTCGAATAAGTATATGATAAACCATAAATAATTAAAAAAATTTTGATAGTTAACTACAAATGTTCATAAGTATGTACGTACTTATGTGTGTCTTATTTCTCTGTATATACATATGTACATACATACAGAAAGGGAACTTATAGAGAAATTGTGACCAGTGTAGATTACATTTCTGCTACAAATAATACAATTTTTTAAGATTGAGCGGGAGAGAGTGGGATTTTGGTGAGCACGGGTTTTGTTTTTGGCGCCGAATTGGGTTTCTTTTTTAGAGGAAATTGGATACAATAGCAGAGACACGACGCTTCCGCTCCGCCCCCTCCCCCTTTCACCGTACCGCCTCCTCTCTTCTCTGGCCGTCTCTCCACGTTTTTCCGTCTCGCTCTGAGAAGCAGGAGCGAATTCGCCAGAAACTGATTCTCCCACTCACAGTTGGAAATTGTACACAGTACACATGGTAAAATCCGTTTATTTTGACCACGACATCCAACTCGAGGAGATGTTAGCTCGTCACTTTGTTCAGGGCCCATCGTTCCAGTTTGTAGGCGGGAACAACGACTCCATAAAGTTGTGTTAAATTAATTAGTGAGGCAAAATGAGGTTATAATATAAAGGCCCCACCAAACAGAACCCACACACACGCAAACTGCGATAGGCAAACTCACAGCGAACACATTTGCGTATTTGTTTTCAACAAATTTGTGCTGAATTCTTCATGTTTTGCGTTCGTTTCAAGTATATTCAGTTTTTTTTTAAATAGAAACAGCAACGGTGATAAGGAGCGGTGGGGAAGGCCAGGCAAAAGTCGTGTCATGCCGTTCGAATTTCATACAGTCGGATTGTAGCACAGTGACACGAATACATATGCTGGGAATTAAATTTTAAGTTTAATTCAGTTTTAATCACTTGTAAGGCATTTTGAAAACAGTTCTTGTCAATGTACATTGTATTTACATATGTATGTATACTAATAAGATTTACTAAGTGGTAACCGTTTTATAAATTATCTTCTCATCTACTTAAACTGATTTGTCATGCAACAAATTTAAAGCATATTTATAAGACTACATAGTCATTTCTTATTCTATTTTTGGAATTGTATTCCTAAATTGTCTTAAATACTTACAGGTAATATGGTAATAAATTAGCTGAAAATTTAATTTTAAAAATATTTTTGATTATAAATTGAACGAGATTACGTGTATGTACATGGTCATCATCTACTTATTTTTTAGAAATTACCACTTTAAGCATCAACCGTGACATGTGCTACTACTGAAACCACTGTGCTTTGCTATTGCTCATGTGGCCTCCCCTCTCATTCCACTTCATTACCCCCACCATTGCCATTCCACTCCGCCTCATAAGCCACCACCACCCCCCTCTCAATGCCCTTTCTTCCTCTCAACATGCTCCGTTGGTCGGCGTTGCCAGCTGCGAAGCACGCTCACTGCTATAACGCCGATTGGAACTTTAAAGGGGCCTTTCGAACAGCATTTCTCATGTTCCCAGCATCAAAACAGAGAAAATTGTAATCTTAAAAATTCGGCCACTCGCTCACAATATTACCACTTCTCTGAGCATTGGGTAGAACTCGCACTCTATTTCTCCTCTCCTTGGTTTTTATTTCGACTAACTTCCCTAATGCGGGGGTCTCTCCGCTCTTAAGCGGGACTTGATCTGCATATGAGAATGAGAATGGCTATATGTTTTCTATATATTTTTACCCCGTAGGGTCTGGTCTCTGAGATGTGTCGAAAGTAACAGGTGATTGGTGAGGAGAGAGGAAAGTCAGAGACAGAGAAAAGAGAATGTAGAGCGGGAATCGCTGGCGAAGAGCGAGCCGGCTTTTCTACCAGTTTATTATTATTTATGCAGGATCTGTTGATATTTTATAACCAAAGAGAAATAACAGTCCAATTTGCACGTCCTTATAAATTTATTTATTGATCCGTTACGAAATCAACACATAATTGTTGGTAGGAAATTCCATTTGAAAAGTCTAGCATTTTAGATAGAGTTCCAAGAAAACTAAGTAAGTTTCTGATTCACATATTTTGATTTAATCTACTTTAAAAAGGCCTTTTCCAACATTTAATTCTAGCGAATTTGATTTATTTTTGAATATATCTTAGTCTTGATTATTAATCCATGACGACTGCTAAAAAAAGCATGCAAATAGATTATTTTTTTTAAAAGTATTTTAATTTTGTCGTTTGTTATAATTTGTTCAAAACTCCAATTTGCACCTATACCTATGAATTCAAATCCAAAATATTTGATTATCTAGTAACCTCTACGAATAAGATTATAGCACTAACCATACAACATATAGACTGGTCATTTCATACAACGAAAATGGACTCAAAAATTATTTTGCGGGATGGTTAGTGATTATAGTTATAGTTATACATTTTTCATTTTCCGAGATGGAACTACATAGTAATTTTGGCAGACATCAGTGTAATCCGGAGTGGAGTATTATCAGTTTAAATACAAATTTAACAACAATTTTTTTAAAAAAGTCTTAAAACCTTTTGTGACCTAGTATTTTGGGGACCCAATAAGTATTTTGGGGTCTCAATAATTTTGGTCTTAAATGCATTATTTTTTTTTTTTTGGAAATTGCTTCATAATTAAGCAGTTTTGGTCATTTTTATTTATTTAATGGTTGGTAAATAATATTTATATTTCCCTAGAATGGTTTATTTAAAAAAAATTTGAATATCTGGGTTTTCGGGCAGCCTTAAAATTGATGATGAATGACATTTTCTAGGGGGTTTTGAAAAATATTATACCAAGAAGAGAACAAGAATATATAAATTCATCGAAAGGCACTATAAATGCAAGTCCTTGGACAAAAATCCTTAGATTACCTTAAACAAGTTACCAAAAACCTTAAATAGTATAATTGAATATTTAGCTTCTATCCCATATATTTAGAACCCATAGAACCGGACCCCATAGACCTTTCTTATCACTAGCGCACTGCTCCGTCTGCTGTGGTGGACACATGTGTTTTGGGTCTGTGAAGTCGGCCAAAGTATTTCCATTATTCAATATTTACCACCTTTTATAGTTTTGTTTGCTATCTTTCCGACCTTTTTTGTATTTGTGTCTTCTCGCCTTTCTCTCCCCGTCTCTCCTCTCTAAAAATACTCTTCCTGCGCCCCATCTGGCAATGCCGCTCCTCGACAACTGTACTTCAAAGAGCGTTGCCAGGCCAGTTCTCTCACAGATACACGCATACAGGCGGGAAGCAACCACCACCGTGCGCATGTATTGAGCGCATGACCAGAAATTCAGAATCGTATTTTCTCCCCCGTGTAGAGAAAAACTGAAAACCCGCCGCGCTGGCAGCAGCAGAGCAGCGAAATTCGATCGAAGCGATTTACTCAGCAGCGCCAGCGTCTCAGTTCGAGTTATCCAACGTTGGCGAGCGGACAAGCAGGAGAAAAAAGCGTACGGCCAAGAGAAAGAGAAGGCAAAATTCACCCACAGCATTGAAATTTTCTTTTGCGCTCCGGTGAGAAGATAATTTCACAAACCAAAAACGAATCAACAAAAAAACAAAGTGCGCTCCGTGAGCGGGAAAACAATAACAAAATCAAGAGACACAAGAGGTTATAAAACAAAAAAAATCTTAATGCGTGTCTCATGGCTTGACTGTACTGAATATTGAATATGTGACTGTGTCCGTCCTGTCGCAGTTGTGTGCGTGTGTGTGTTGTTGGCGATTTTAAATGTGGCGCGCGCTATTTTTGTGTAATTTTTGTGGGCAGCAACGAATTTTGAAACAAATTTTAGTATTATAGTTGGTGAAAAAGTCTCCTCCAACAACAAAATTCCTGTGAGCAGACATGCGTTGTCTCGCTCTGTCCCCCAAAGAGTGGGAGAGCGGAAGAGCAGGCGGAGAGAGAGAGAGAGCGAGAGCAAACGACTAACGTTCGTACTCTTTTTTACATTTCAGTTTCGTGAAAGCAGCGCGCCAAGCAACAAGAAGAAGAAGAAGCAACAGAGGGAGTAGGAAAGCAGAGGCGTAGTGAGGAAGAGGAGTTGAAAGGGGATTTTCGCGAAAAATCCCGATTTGGAGAGAATTTTCCGTGGAACCGTGAAACATTAAATCGTCGTGTTGGAGACAAATAGCAGCGAATACGCTAGCAACGCTGGGGAGGAACAACAATTGTTGGATTTGGACGCGACGGCTTTGATGTCGCTGCCAATGAATTCGCTGTATTCGCTCACCTGGGGCGATTACGGCACCAGCCTCGTATCGGCCATCCAATTGTTGCGCTGCCATGGCGACCTCGTCGATTGCACGCTGGCCGCTGGCGGGAGGAGTTTTCCCGCCCACAAGATAGTCCTGTGCGCCGCCTCCCCCTTTCTACTGGATTTGCTCAAGGTGAGTTGCTAAAAAAAAAGCATAAAAATCTACTCTAAAAAGAGAGTTTATCGCACATAACCTTAAACGTGGCGTACAGTTTGTAAACAGAGAAATCCAATCGCAGAAATAGGTTAATGTGGGGAGCGCAGAGAAACCTATACATACATAACGCAGATTTACGCTCCGCTCCAAAAGTTGTCTAGAGATTTCTGTACAAGTTTTCCACTGTCAATTGAGTTGAATGAGTGATTCCCACCCCCCTTGTCTTCGCCCCCTTATCAGCTTTTTCTTGTTGCAAAGTTCACCGGAGAGCAAGAGGGAGAGAGAGTGAGAAGTAGAAGCAGAGTGTTGATAAAGAGGGAGAGAGCGAGAGAACCAGTTGGTTTGAAAAAAAGTGGGTGGCCCCATAGGGTAAGGGAAAGACGGGGGAGGGCGAAAGCTGCTGCGCCAACTTTCAGTTTGCATGTGTTAGAGCGGGCGCAAACGAGAGCGCCAAAAAAGCAGCGCGGCAACTGTTGTAGTTGTTGGATGGTTGGAGCTTTTGTCTTGCCTTTCAGTTCTTGGTGATGTTGTTAGTGCTGTCGGGTGCACACGAGCGCGACCTCTTTTTTTTACTATCAGAACTGTACAGTTGGCACTGGCTATGGGAAAAAAACAGTGTGCACCTTTATTATACAATATTAAAAAAGCATTGTTATAAGAAATAAAGATAATTAATAACATTATTTTTAATCTGCTTGTTTTTCGGCCTGGCTTATAATTCTTATTTAATCTTATATTATAAAGTACCGTCAATCCTAAAAAGTATTCGAAAGCTCAGTTTATCATAGAAAAGCTATGCTACTCCGATCAACTTAAAATTTGTATATTTAGCTATTTTTATATATATAACAATATGTATGCAAGTTTTATTAAATTCCGATTCTAAACCAAAGTGAATCCACATATTCTTCATCTAAGGCGAATATAATATAAATTAATATACGTTCTGAATTACTTATAATTTAATTTCTTAAAGTACATACCCAAAATAGTTTAGAAAGGAAAAAAAATTATTTATTGTTCAAAATGTACTAAAACTCAGTGTATGTAGGTTTCAAGGCAAAGTTAGTTTTACTACACATTTCCCGTTAAGGAATCCGTCCTGTACTCGTACCGAAAAGCATTTCATATCAGGAGGGTGCACTTTTAAATGGAGCTTGCTACTTTTTCGTTACTTTCGTTAGCTGCTTTGCGATACTGTACTTCTAAGCTATTCATTAGCATTTTGCACTTTACTTTGGGTTTCCGCCAGCATATTGATTGTGTATTAAAGTACGAAATACAGACAACAGACCGTGCCGTCCTTAATCCGAATGCGTGGCCCTATCGAAATGGAAATGCTGACCAAAACAGAGCGGCCAGCTAAATAAAAACACCTGATGCGACGCTCTTCTCTTCCTCTCCTCTCCTCATCCCTTCTCTCCTCTCCGGCAGTGAAAAAAGTAAACAGAGCGAATTTTTAAAATCGCCGCTCAGAGCCGGGAAATGTCAAAAAAAAAAAGAATGGAAAAAAATGCGGCTGTGAACTCTGCAAAATGTACAAGATGTACTGATCTCGTTACACTCACACACGCACGCTAAAACACATGGCGGCCGCTCTTCGTTGCTCTTGCTCCCTCTCTCCCACTGCCCGGAATGCAAGTCAGAAAATCGATGAGCGAGAGGGGGGTAGAGTTCAAAGAGCGTAATGAGGAGTGAAAATGGAAAAAGGGAGGGGGAGGGGTAGATGACATTTGAAGAGATTGTGTGGATTGGAAAGAGGGCGAAGGGTGGTGGTTTCAGAGCAGCGCTTGCTAATTAAATGACCAGAGAGGGAGCGGTAGCTGCTAAGCGCTCTTTCTTTAAGCGCTACGTTGCTCTGTTTTCTTTTTCAGCTTCTCGAAATCTGAAAAGTCTCCTCGAAATCCTGATGCAGAATGTGCAGAGCGCGGAAAAGTAAAAGCCGGCTGTCTGTCTTTGTGTGTGTGAGCGGTGGAGAGTGCGGTGTGAGCGGGAGTGGACACGTGTGAGTGTGAGCACCACGCCGCGAGTTTCCATTATTTTCATCTCTGTCCGTCGGTCTGTTTTTGTTTTTGTTTGCTTTGACGGACGGACGGGCCCCTTTTTTTTTTTTTTGCTTAATTTTGCGTCTCCATTCACGCTTCGCCAAAAAATGTGAGACCACACTAAATGCTAGGATTGAGTTTATGCCAGGAGAAGAGTCGAAGGGAAATCCAATTCATCTCTTAGTCTCTGGCAACCAAACCACATAAGGAACTATGTATCTGAAGTTGTTTATTTGTAAAGATATAATTTTCCAGCTAGTACAATAATTTGTAAAGTGTCACCATTTAATCCATGGAAATGTGATTATAGTTCCAATTTCAGAGAACATTTGACTTGTTCAAATGTTTTTCTCTGAATATAACTCTCTAGAAACCCAACCTTATTAAGTTCTTAAAAATAATTTAAGTTTGTTCCCACCTTTTTAATGCTTGATATAATTTGTTCGCGCGTTTTCAGAATACACCATGTAAGCATCCAGTGGTGATGTTGGCCGGCGTGAATGCCAACGATCTGGAGGCGCTGCTGGAGTTTGTGTACCGCGGCGAGGTGAGCGTAGACCACGCCCAGCTGCCGTCACTTCTGCAGGCCGCCCAGTGTCTCAACATCCAGGGATTGGCTCCGCAGACGGTAACCAAGGACGACTACACCACGCACTCGATCCAGCTGCAGCACATGATCCCGCAGCACCACGACCAGGACCAACTGATTGCCACGATCGCCACGGCTCCACAGCAGACAGTGCACGCCCAAGTGGTGGAGGACATCCATCACCAGGGACAGATCCTTCAGGCAACGACCCAGACCAACGCAGCAGGACAACAGCAGACCATTGTGACCACAGACGCGGCTAAACATGACCAGGCAGTTATTCAGGCATTCCTCCCGGCACGCAAGCGCAAACCGCGCGTCAAGAAAATGTCACGTAAGTTTTTAAAAATTTGAACTTTTTTCATAATTAAATATATTAAGATCTAGTTTTTGCTGTTCACTTTTGATAAGACAAATAAGCAATTTCAATATTAATTTATAAATAATTGCAAAATAAATTATTTGAATGACTAATTATAATAATTATACATTTTATTCTTTTGCAGCTACGGCTCCGAAAATAAGCAAAGTTGAAGGAATGGATACGATAATGAGCACACCGACTTCTTCGCACTCGGGATCCGTGCAGCAAGTGCTTGGCGAAAATGGAGCCGAGGGCCAGCTGCTGTCATCAACACCGATCATCAAAAGCGAAGGACAAAAAGTAGAGACAATTGTGACTATGGACCCTAACAACATGATACCGGTAACGTCGGCCAATGCGGCAACTGGCGAGATAACAACGGTACAGGGAGCTGCAGGCTCATCCGGAGGCAATACAAGCGGCGGATCATCCACGCCAAAGGCTAAACGGGCTAAACATCCGCCGGGATCAGAAAGTGAGTTGCAGATTAGGTCTATTCACTTGTTGGTATAAAGTGACGAATATACAGTTGATAAATTTAAAAATTAAATGTTAAAACATAAGTTTAAAGTGCTTTATAAGAGCGTTTTAAATATTTTCATCACTTTATGAAAGCTAGTAAATAACTAACGTACTTTTCCAAAAGCTGTTCCAAATACTGAAGTAATTTTTAATTTTTAGAACCGCGCTCGCGATCGCAATCGGAACAACCTGCTACTTGCCCCATTTGCTATGCTGTCATTCGTCAATCGAGGAACCTGCGGCGCCATCTCGAGCTGCGGCACTTTGCCAAGCCGGGCGTGAAAAAGGAGAAGAAAAGTAAGTCCGGTAACGATACCACCCTTGACTCCAGTTTGGAGCTGAACACCACGGCAGAGGGCGACAACACAGTGGGCAGTGATGGACCAGGCGGAGCGGGATCAGCAGGAGGAGCATCATCCGGTACGACGCCCACGAGAGTGATATCGAATGCGCCGCAGGCCGCGGGGGCACCGGCCATCCTGGCCCAAACTGTGCTGCCCCAGCAGCAGCAACAACTGCAACAGCAACACCAGCAGCACATGACCACGGCAACATTAGCGGGTGGTGGACAGGCATACATCAAACACGAGGGCGCCGGCGGGGGCGGCACTGGGCAGCAGCAGCAACAGCAACAGGCGCAACAGCAGGGCATGCAGAACGTCATACACATTGTGGGCGATCAGGTCTTCATGCCGCAGCAGCAACAGCCGCAGCCGCAGTAGCTGCCTCCTGCCGAGCCTTCAATCATTCCAACGCACCAACGACACCATCATCCACATTTCCAAACACACACTCGCATAACACACACGAAAACGTTTTGTAAATAACAATCAAGCAAACAAACAAACTCCCCGTGATCTGATCGAATGATTTGTGTTCATTTCCTGTATCATTTTTAAATTTTCCATAATTAATTGCTGCGTAAGTTTTTAATTTGCATAACTTTTCAAAATTGCGCTTTCAACATATAACATTTTCTTATGCAGTATTTTCTTGCATATTGTACTACAGAGAAAAGAAAAAATGGAGATTTCCCAAGTCTCTAAGTAATTGAATACTCGACTAATTTACTTAAATAATCTAATTAGTGTCGCAAATAATTGTTGTAAAAATTAAATGTACAATTACAATCGAGGATCGCAATCGGTTTAAGTTTCTCTATTTTAAATATTATATTACAAATTGTTTAATTAATAAAATATTATATATTTTTTTATATAACAAAAACAAAATTAATCTCTGCCTGTGGCACGGACTTTAATTTATTGCAATTGGCTGTTCGTTAATATTGTTTCTCTTAGTTGCAAGAAAATACTGTTGGTCAATTCCCTTAGCTACTAACTTGGCACTGATCTTATTTCTGTTCTGAATTCCCCTGCAAAAGAGTTGTTAAAACTGATTGGAGCAAATCTTGCGGATGTGAAATAGACAATTTGGCCGATAATCGTATTTAAAAGTTTGGAATGTGTCTTGAGTTCGATTTATATTGTAGCTTACTTCTGTATTTTGTTTTATCTAACAATTTATTTGTTAGTTTTTGATATATTTAAATTCTTATGCTCCTTTTATTTAACCTTTTGATCAGACCTTATATTTTACTAACCAAAAGATTTATATTTAATATAAAGTGTTTTTTTATAGTTGTTTTGTCTTTCGTTTCACTTTCTTTGTAAAAACTTTTCATCTACACAAACCACACATTTTGACATTCCCCCTCTGGATGTAGTCCTAGAAGGTCGCGTTGTTTCTCTGTTGGGCCAGCGATGTTGCTTCAGTGTCGTCTCGCTCTGTATTACCCTTACTATCCCCCTATGTAGTTTGACCCACCGCACCGGCAGTCTTCTCACCAGCACCTCTTTCCTTCCTTGCAGCAACCAGTGGCAAAAAGTCTAGCAGCGGATCCAGCGGTTCGGGATCGGGTGGCAGTGGAGCACTGAGCTCCGGCGGCAGTGTGCCCCAGGTGCAGACGGTGCAGTCCCTGCACACATTGCAAGGTGTGCAGGTCAAGAAGGATCCCGATGCCCAGCAGCAACAGCAACAACAACAGCAGCAGCAGGCAATGGCAGTAAGCGGATCGGCAGGCGGACAAGTGCAACAGCAACAAGTGCAGCAAGTGCAGCAACAAGTCCCACAGCAGCAGCAACAGCTACAACATCACCAAATCATTGACTCTTCGGGCAACATAACAACGGCAACGACGAGCGCTCAAGCGGCGGCCGCTCAACAACAGGCAGCCGGGCAACAGCAACAACTGGTGGCTCAATCCGCTGATGGTAGCGAAAGTGGAGCGCCGCTTTCGATTGCCCAAGTGCAGACGCTGCAGGGCCATCAGATCATAGGCAATTTAAATCAGGTGAATATGACTGACTTCCAACAACAGCAGCAGCAGCAACAACAACAGCAACAACAACAACAACAACAACAACAGCAGCAGCAACAGCAAACACAATCACAACAGACGCTCTGATCGGACCGTAATCGTAGATCCACCATATACTATTCTGTATAATTATTATTAATTTGGGTTTTTGCTTAACGCTTTAAATATTTTCCTTGCGGAATGCGTAGACAAATTCTAAATTAATTGAAAGAAGCCAATATGGCACCTTTAGTTGTTTAATATTTTGTTGTACAATTTGTATGACTTTAAATGTTGATTTTCCCCTAGTTTTGTTGTTAGAGTTACGTTTAAATGCGCTATGGTTATTGGAAATTACGTGGATATCCTATAGTCTAACCAATGCTGGAGGATCTCTAGTCAAATTGAAATCCTTCGGATCAGTGGAAGTCGATGAAACCCAGGTCCCCTAGTTCATAACCTAATTTTGTTTGGACCGCTTGCACCTTGTCTTTGAAGCAATATAATTAAATTTAATAGATAGCTTAAAAACCCTTGATTTATGACGATCTACTTAAGTAGCTCAAATGAGCTCGCTCAATATTGGGGTTTCTAAAAACCCCATTCTGTGTCTGCCCACCTACAACCACTCAATTAATCAAACAATCCTTTCTATTTTTTGGCTTTCGTTTTTTATTTAAGAACTAAGTGCTCTAAGTTTAAATCAAATCAATTGTATATGTATATTTCTTAATTTTAATAGTTGCAAATTTTTCTTAAATTTTAGTCCCTATGCACTATTTTAGGTACATGGAACATAACTTTTGGGGAATATTGATTTAATTATGTAAATTTAAACGCAAGGGTATGTTCCATTTACCTGAAGTTGTCAACTTATTTTTAGTTTTTCTATATACTTAAATAAAATATAATTTTATTTAAACCAAAAAAACAAATATAATAAACCAAAAACTTTTAAAATAAAATTTCCAAAGTATTTTCCTTTATATTTTATTTTTCGTATACGTTATGTTTTATGTTGGCTTTGTTGGTTATTTTGTAGTTTTAAATGTATTTATTAAACCAAAAGAAGTGTATAGCTTTGTATCACTAACATACTTTTAAATATAATTTATTTTTTACTTTATGGTGCATGACTTAATATTGTTCTTGTACCATATTAGTTTAAAGTTCTCCTAGTTATATGGTTGCCAAACAAAAACGATTCATGAATACAGTGACAAGAATTTAACAGAAAAGCATATTGTGACTAATTGCACTTGACATGGCACCACTACAAATACACTTGCATTGATCAACTTAACCAGATCATTAACGAATCGTTTTTATCTTCTCTCTTTCTTGCTGCCACACCAATAAAATAAAAAAAACGCATCTAACCAATCAAATGCAATTAATTTGTGTGTAAAACCTAAACATTCATCATGCATCCCACAACAAAACAAAATCATTAAAACGACTAGGGCAACAACAAGAATATTTTGGTAAAGAAGGTTTTCATTTTGAAAGGAGGTAATAATACGTAATGATGAGCCAACGATATGTCCAGCGGCCCTGGAGGAGGAGGAGGCGGGAGCGGGCAGCAGCAGCAACAGCAGCACAGCACTAGCAGTACGAGCAACAGCTGCAACAGCAACATCGCTGGCACGACAGCAGCCACAGTGAGCAGCAGCAGCAACAGCAGGAGCAACACGCCAGCAACATCAACATCATCGGCTGGAACTGGAACGGCAGCAACATCCACACTCCAGCGTCGCATTCTGCGCGGTCATGCGGCGCAGACAACCAGCGGAGAGCGTGTCCTGCTCATCAATTACGTGCCTCAATCGGGAGCTGGATCGGGAGGAACTGCACCCGCGTCCACTCAGAGCACGTCTCAATTGCCCACCCGTAAGATACTCCAGGCCAGAGCCTCGGCAGCAGCAGCAGCGTCTGGAGGAGGAGCAGAAGTAGCAACATCCTCTTCCCCGCCATCCACGCCAGCTGTCTCGTTCGCCGGACTGGGCTCCGAGGTGACCGTCACCTTGACGCGCACTAACCAGCGCGCCAGCATGACCAGTGTCACAGCCGCCGGTCATATTGTTAGGAATCAGCAAGCCACAACCTATCACCAGAGCACGAACACAGTCACCACAGCATCGACTACGAGCGGCACGGCGGCGATTCATGAGCACATAGCTACATCAACGTCGCCACCGCCACTGGTATTCACCCATCATCCACATCATCACCACAGCCAACAGCAGCAACAACATGAGTATCACCAAGACCACCAGTTAGTGGATCACCATCAACTAGATCAAGAGCACATAATCATAGATCATCATCAGCCGACGGAGGATGATCAGTTGATCGAATACGATGATGGCGGGACGATCGAGGAGCAGCATCATCAGTTGCAATTGCAAGAGGACCTTCATGATCCCCAGCAGCAACAGCAGCAACATCATGACGTTGTTCATGAGGTGTATCTCCAGTAAGAGAGATTAGCGTTAAGCAGTAGCGTAATAAGTTTTAGCCATTCTATGAAGAAATTTGGGCACCCAAAATGTGTGCAAACAAAAAATCGAATTTGACAAAGCTTTAATTTGGTCGTTTTTTAAAAAAATTTCCCTGTATCTCTAAGTTATTCTCTTCGTAAATTTCCTCTAATTTAATTGCACACATTTTGAGAAATACAAATAAAATCCTGTACATACATACAAAAAAAATAAATATAACCTTTGAAATAAAAGGCTTTTTAGAAGACCAGTTTAATATTGTATATAGTTTTCTGAAAAGTAGGCAAAAATATTTTCCATTGAAAGTATTAATCTTAAAATTTACATATTGAAGAAAAATTTTTAATTAACTAGTTGTTAGTAAAGATTATTTTTGTACTATATAAATACTGATACTACATATATGCTAGTTCAGAAATATCTGCACATATTAAATAATCATTGACGATCCATTAGTTATTGTCAGTTGCAGATCAAAACAAACAACGTACCGAAACGTAATCAATTGTAAAATATATCGACTTCAAATAAAAAAATCAAATTTCGCACATAATACGTATGTATGTATCAATCAAATCCATTCTGATTGTTTAAAAATGTTGAAGCAAAAGGGCCCTTAGGATTATGAATGGGATAGATTGAACAAAGTCTGTCTTTTAAGAGAAACATATTCATGTAACCCATTATTTGGGGCCAAGGCAATAAAGCGAGCCGGTTTGTGTACTGAAAGTAAAATTATAATCCTGTTAAAATTTTTCCTGGGGGAAGCAACCATTTATAATTAAAATCAACTACATTTATTTATTAATTCAATTGTTTATTGTTTTTTTGCCTTTTTAACGGTTGCCTATACACAATGTTGTCTTCTAATTTACAAAAAGCCATTTAACAACTATTTTTATACCCGTTACTCGTAGAGTAAAAGGGTATATTGTATTCGTGCAAAAGTATGTAACAGCTAGAAGGAAGCGTTTCCGACCCTATAAAGTATATATATTCTTGATCAGGATCACTAGCCGAGTCGATCTAGCCATGTCCGTCTGTCCGTCTGTCCGTCTGTCTGTCCGTCTGTCTGTCTGTCTGTCTGTCTGTCTGTCTGTCTGTCTGTCTGTCTGTCCGTATGAACGCTGAGATCTCGGAAACTATAAAAGCTAGAAGATTGGCATTTTGCATGTAGATTTTAGAAGTTCCTACGCAGCGCAAGTTTGTTTCAAAATGGTGCCACGCCCCCTTTAACGCCCACAATCGCTAATATACGATTTTAAAAATTTAAATATTTCGGAAAAGTAAAAATGCAGTTTTATTGTGTTTATCAATACCTATCGAAATGTAGAAAACAATTTTCAAATCGGACCATTCGTTAAAAAGTTATGCGTGATCAAAGTTTCTATCTCCATCTCCCTCGCACTCCCTTTAGCTGAGTAACGGGTATCTGATAGTCGGGGCACCCGACTATAGCGTTCTCTCTTGTTTTTTTTATTATTTACAATTTTTTTTTACTTTTTTACAAGTAGCAAACTAAAAAGCTACAAAAAATTACAAACTACTTTAGGTTTTCACTATACAGGAAGTTATTTACCAATTCTAATTTCAGAATTGGGATTGGTAAGCTTAGATTGGAGCGCTTGAAAAGTGTTTGGATACACAATTAATTGAATTGCAATATCTACAATACATGTTTTATATTAGCAATATAATCAGGCACTAGCTAGACAATGTTTTCCCTTCAATTGCAGCTATTTAAATAATTTGATGTTCATTTTATTTGTTTTCTTTAAGTTTAAAATGTCTTAAAATGCAATTTGAAAAGATTATTGTTCCAAGTTATCTGATAACACTTTTGGACCTGCAATATGTTGATTTATAGTTTTTGTTTAATCTTTTTGTTTAAGCACTTGAACTTTATATCAATTTGAATTGTCTGATTAACTAGTTTTTAAAGTTTTTGTTTAATTTGCAATTTATTAACTTTTTAAGTACCAATTTTTGTTTTTCACTTTTCTAGTTGCAGCTGAAAAAATGTTTCAAGACACAGCTAATCATTATTTGATATTATCTGGCAATTATACTCTATAATGTCTGTTTTTATTTGTCTGTGGATTGCACTTATTGCCCTGTTTATTTGGCACTTTTCATCAGGCGACTGCTAGCAAAGCATTCGCCAAAGAAGCGATCCAACGAATGATACAAATGCGGACGCACATTGGTCAGACCATGGTCCTCATCAGCGTAGCTCTGTAAAAGTATTTTTGTAATGTGAATTATCATGAATCGGACCAGTAAAGAAAGGTACTTACAATCTGCTTAAAGAGAATGTCCTGTCGCTCCAGATTTTTGGCCAAGATCATGGCCTGTTGGTAGTGAACATTGTCATCCAGTGTGCCATGAACCAGTAAATATTTCTTGCCCCGCAGTTTCACGGCCATTGTGCTTAGTCTGGAATTGGCATAGCCAACCTCATTCGTGTTAGGCAGACCCATATAGCGCTCTGTGTAAATGGAATCTGTGACGAAGATGTATTTTTTAGATAGGTTACTAAAAAACTAACTAAAGAAGAATAGCTACTCACCATAGTAAGCCCAATCCGTGACGGGAGCTATCGAGGCTGCACATTTGAACACTTTGCTTTGATCATTGGCCAGAGCCATGGCAGCTGCGTAGCCACCATATGACCAGCCCCAAATGCCGACGTGTTCAGCATCAATGTAGTCGTACATTTTAGAGAGGGCTCTGAAAAAATTGTGGGTTATTAATTAAAAAGTTTTCTTGAGTTTTTTCTGAAAATCAACAATTTTTGGTTAAATTCTATGGATAAGTAAAATGCAAAACGAAAAATATGTCTGAATAAAAAGGCATAAAAAATGTAAATTTAAAAAATGTTTACATTTTTTAACCTTTTTTAGAAACATTAGGTATTTATTTTTTTGGAAACACAGTTTACTTCACCCAGGTAGGAAATACTAGTACCTGTAGCAACACTAGTACAAGCCTAATCTTAAATTACTAATTTTTCGTATGGATTTAACTTACTCTGTAACGTTAATTTGGTCACTGATCTCCACGGTGCCTAATTTTAGGTAGATGGCATGGAGGAGACTCTCGCCCCGGAGTCCAGATCCTCGACCATCGATCTTGGCATAGATCACAGACTGATTTGAGGTCAGATAGGTGCCCCAGTCCACCATCCATTTGTTGGTTACCTTCATAAAACAAGGAATTGTTAAATTGCATTATTTTCCTCAGTCTTTGTCTAGCTCACAGAGTAGGAATCTGGTCCTCCATAGACATCCACAAGCATGGGGTATTTGGTTGCGCCACTGGTGTCCAAATTGGGAGGCAGCTGGAGCAGAACCTTCGCCTGGAAGCCACCGTCAATGTTCACTGTCAGGATCTTGTGCGAAGGCATGGCCACGCCCTTCAGTTTGGCACGAAGGCTTTCATTGGTTTCCCAGTCGAGCACATTCGAGATAACTACTTGAGCTGCACAATGAACAAGACAAATAAAAATTAATAGAATAAGTTTCAGTTCTACTAATACAAATGTTTTTTACACCGAAAAATCATTTAATATGAAACCCGATTTAAAACATGGGCCTACCCAGGGTTTATAATTTTACCAATTTTGTGGATCCTCGGCAAGTCAAAGTTTATGTGCACTTGCAGCTGTTTTAAAAATTAACTATTCCTATGGCAGCTGTATGATATAGTCGTCCGATTTTATTAAGAGTAAAACCGTGATTTTTGAATCGTTAGAGAGAAGAAACCATGAAGTTATACTTATATTACTTTTTTTCCCTATCGTTCCTATGTATATAACTAAAATTTATGAAAAAGCTAAAAAAACTATATGTCGGAGTATATGGATATTTTCTGTCTCTGCAGGATTTATATGCCGATCCGGGCTGTTTCGACTTATATACTACATGCTACACAAATAAGGATTTTTTTAAAGTTTCGTAAAAACAGAGCTTTTAAATTGAGGGCATAGTTTGCAAAGAAACGGACAGACGGTCCTTCTTTTAGGGTCGGAAATGTACCCTTTAATGCCTTCTGGAAGGCTATACAAATGTGCTTGGCCAAACTTACAGTTTTCAAACTTCCACTCGCATATGTGGCTAGTTGGAATTCCGGGGCCCAGCGAGGTGATCACAATGTGGTTCTTGTCGTTGAAGGTGGCCGAGAAGTAGGTCTGCTGTACATCCCCGGACTTGATCAGGTTGCAAGTGAGGCACTTGGGGCTCTGTTTGGCCAGCGCCCGAATGGCGTACAGATGCAGCTGCTCGGGATGATCCTCCGTGTTGGCCGTGTAGAAGATAATGTCGTTGTCCCCGTCCCAGTGCAGGATGCTGTCCACCACGTACTTGCCCTCGGTCAGGGGTTCCAGCGTTTGTAGCTCAGCACTGGACACCGTGGAGCTAAGCAGCTGGACGTGCTTGTAATTGTTGTGCGGCAGGACGAAGGCCAGACGGGAGCCGTTGCGGTTTCGGAAGGGAGCGGTATAGAGATCAACCCAGCCGGTCTTCGATTCCGCGCTGTAGATCTGCAAGAGAATATAGAAGTATAAAAATATTTTTTTTTTAGATTTAATTATTAAAAATTAATAGTTCCGTACAATTCCACTTCACATCCCAATATATTTCTATTAATAATTTAACAAATGTTTTATAACAATTTGACCTATTACGGTTTTTCAAGTTTTAAAAGAACAAAATAGTAAAGCTATAGTGTAAAAAATTTATTAATAAAATCATACCACTAAAATACCTTTCAAACAAATTTTGTATGCGAATAAAATTGTATAAATTTTAACAATGAATGATGACGATTATATGTTCATCAATATAGGAATCATATTGTAAAATAAAAACGTTGATAACTATTAAAACTTTTGCCTAACTATAGATGAGTGTATACTTTATGGCTCACTAAGTAAGTTATACTGTTACATATAAATATAAAAAACTTACCACCTTCCTGGTTAGCCCACTGAAAGTCACGACATACGCGGCATTCTGAATGCGGTTCATCCAGATGGACAGGACATTGGCATCATCCACCCAACTGACCACGGTTACAATATAGTCTGTCTCCGTATTAAGCGCAGCTGGCACCGGCATCACGGTCACAAAATCCTTACCAGCAACGGCCCTCTCCAGATCGACCATCACTAGTTCCACTCGCGGATTCGACGATCCGGCCTTGGGATATGCGATCACCTGGTGCAGTGGATACTGATATCGCAGATCTCCGGCATCGCCGTAGTAGGGGAAATTGATCGGATGCGTGGACGAGTCGTCGAACTTGATGAAGGCCAATTGGGTGCCCGACGGGTTGAACCACGTGGCCACATTGGAGCTGAAGACCTCCTCCTCGTACACCCAATCGGGAATGCCATTGAGTACACCCGTCTGCTCATCGCTGGTGAGCGCGATCTCCTGCTCCAAAGCACTCTCCTTATAGTACAGATTCCGGTCGTAGTTGATCACCAGGGCATTTCCCGCCGGCGACCATTGTACCATGCTCAGATACCGCTGCTCGTTCTGGATGGTCAGCGGAGTAAACGTTTTCGTGTTCAGGTTGTACAGGTCGTACTCCGCGAGGAAGCTGTACCGGAAGTTCTTCCTGTAGTTCTTGGCAAGCAGCAGAAACAGCCCATCCGCAGACTTCTCATACAGCACATAGTGCGCGGAATTTTCGAGCAGGACGGAACGTACTCCCGTCTTGGCATCGAACTCCATGATAGACTAAAAGACACCAGGGGGAAAAAATATTAATTTTAATTACGGTCTAAAATTGTAAGCTTCACTTGCTAATGACTTATGCACTACTTTATTTCGGTTCCGATTTTAGGTGCTAAAATGGTTACATTCAAAAAGTCTTGTATAATATTATAGTTACACTCTAAGAAATGATTTTTCTTTTTATTTTAAATTACAAAAAATAAAATTATTTTTTACTTTTAGTTTTGTTTTCCAAGATAAGTTGGGAGTTTGTATTTAACACTAAAATGTTTACATTTTTAAATTATTTCGAACTTTAAGCTACGATAGTAGATACTTTCAAAAAGTCTTGCATTCTTTTTTAAATGACAAATTATATGTTTTTATACCCTTGCAGAGGGTATTATAATTTCAGTCAAAAGTTTGCAACGCAGTGAAGGAGACATTTCCGACCCTATAAAGTATATATATTCTTGATCAGCATCACCAGGAGAGTCGATCAAGCCATGTCCGTCCGTCTGTCCGTCCGTCTGTCCGTCCGTCCGTCCGTCCGTTTCTACGCAAACTAGTCCCTCAGTTTTAAAGCTATCTGCTTGAAACTTTCCAAAAGTTGTCTTTCTATTGCAGGCAGTATATAAGTCGGAACGAGTCGGATCGGGCGACTATATCATATAGCTGCCATACAACTGAACGATTGGAAAAGCCATAACTTTTGTGTTTTTAAAGTTAGGAAGTTGGGATTTTCTATGGGTTTTATTTTGGCCAATCAATCCGACCTACCGAATTTCATAAGCATCGGACGACTATATCCTATTACCGCCATATAACTGATTGATCGGAAATGCCATAACTTTGGTGTTTTTAAAGTTAGGAAGTTGGTATTTTCTATGGGTTTTATTTTTGGCCAATCAATCCGACATACTAAATTTTATAAGGATCGGCCGACTATATCCTATAGCCGCTACATAACTGATTGATCGGAAATGCCAAAACTTTGGTGTTTTTAAAGTTAGGAAGTTGGGACTTTTTATGAGTATTAAGAATGCATCATATGAATAATTTTTGAGAATATAATTTACAGAATATTCTGCCAGGGTATATCAACTTCGGCTCCGCCCGAAGTTAGCTTTCCTTTCTTGTTTTCTTTTAATTTTAAATTAAAAAACAAATTTTTATTTTATCGTTGAAACTTTGTTTTTAAAAATGATTTTATGTCTTATAATTTCTGAAAATATTTTTTTTGGGAAATAGTAACAAACAAATTTGAATTTGTATTAACTTACCGCATTCTCTTTGTATATCAGACTGTTGCCGTTGCTCCAGCTGCCGTTGAAGCGCTTGGCATATAGGTGGCCGTTAAGAACATCCTCCAGATTGATGGCGTTATTGGAGTTTGAGTCAGAGTCGTCACCATCCTTCTCGTCCGTCCTAAGAATGAACACAAGGGCGGTGGCCAAAAGCGCTAACGCAATGACCGCCGTCACAACGCTCAGGATTATCCGCACCCGACGCTTCTTCTCCTTGGTATGCATCAGATTCTGTTCGAGGGAATCAAAATTATGGAAATATTAGGAAAATAAAATAAAAGGGTTATCCTAAATTTAATTTTGAATTTTTATTAAATTCTTTTAAGAGATCAACAAATACGTTGCTATTCTTAACTTATTTATTAAACCAAATAGGAGAATTTAGGTATGGACAATAAAATCCAAATCCATTCTTCAAATATAAATACATTTTTTTAACTATATTTTATTATTAGAATTTCGTTCTGGCAAACTCTATGCACTTCGGAGAATTAAGTTTCTATTTAATATTTAATGGCAAAATAATTATAAGAGAATATTTATGTAATCGTAATTTTAAAAATTATAGAGTAATAGAGTAAGCTTTTTGTTAAAATATGTTTTGCTCCTAGGACCATAAATGCTCATATTGGCTTTTCCCACAAACGGAAATTAGTAACAACCAGTTAATAAATAACGAAGTTTACTGCAACAAACTTGAAAATAAATTATAGTGAGAAACCAGCGAGTTCGTTAACCTTTTTTCATGCATGGAAATTGGCATTCATTTCGAACGGTCTTCGTTTCCTAGTTTTCCGTTCACATTTCTGTAGTCAGCCACCTTCTGGGCTGACCAAAAAAATGCAACTTGGCCAGGCCAAATTAAAAGGCTCGAACGAAATGCGCACTTTGGCCAATTTGGGTACAATCTTTCTACCCAATCAGCGACTCCAGGCACGTATATACATATATATATGTATTATATGGAAAGTAACGTTGCGCATGCGCAATGACTTTTTCTTTCTTATATCCATTCGCTCAGCGCGTTCCACTCAACTCGCTGAAACCACAGCAAAATGCATAAGACATGGTAGGAGAGATTTGGGATAAGGTTATGTAGGGAGATGGAACGGCAGCCAAATGAGTCCAAAAAGTGGAGAGCGAAAATGAAAGTAGTTTTTTGTTAACCAAACTCCAGTCTGGGTCGCCGATAACTGGTTTGTGCGCTGGTCAGTATACTGAGTATGTACAGGTAAAATGGGTGGGAGAGGGGGTAAGTGGGGACTCAGAGCGATTGCCGCATGACGTAAGTAAATAAAATCAGAAATTACTTTTTTCGTATCGAGCACATTTTTGTTTAACCTGTCTGTTGTTTCGCCAAGTTTGTTTGTTTCTTTTACATAATTTTACATTACGCGACTAAATAATTGAAGTTGTCCACGCCCCAAAACGACAAATTCATGTAGCGCTTTTGTTTTTGGTTTTTTCCATTTTTATTTATCTCGGCTTCGATGTGATAATTGAGCTGTTGAAATCTATCATTAAACGAAACGCTTTTGCACTTTACTGATTTCTGCTTTCAGCTTTTTTGTCAAATCATGTCAATGGATTTTTGGCAGAGCATGATAGTTTTTTGTGATTATTTAATGGTATTTGTTTGTTTCAGCTCAAGGTTATGGTGTCTTTTGTGGCCTGCAGCTGGAGAAGTTTTTTATGGTTTGTGTTCTTTATTTTGGCTACTCCAATTCATAGTATGAAGCCAAAATTTGTGCGTCGCCTGAATACATTCTGCTACAAATAAGTTTAACAGACAAACTTCCTTAAAAAAACAATGCCAATTGTGGGAACATTTTGATAAAACATTTTTAAAGTTTCCCCTCAAGAATAGAAATCACTTTCCAATTAAAGCTCCATAGTAAAACCCCAGGCTTGGTTATTTTCATCATTTTCTCTAAGGCCTACAAAAAAATAAATTTTCATTTTTCAAGCGATATATTTATACCCGTTACTCGTAGAGTAAAAGGGTAAATTGTATTCGTGCAAAAGTATGTAACAGCTAGAAGGAAGCGTTCCCGACCCTATAAAGTATATATATTCTTGATCAGGGTCACTAGCCGAGTCGATATAGCCATGTCCGTCTGTCCGTCTGTCTGTCCGTATGAACGCTGAGATCTCGGAAACAATAAAAGCTAGAAGATTGGCATTTTGCAAGCAGATTCTAGGAGTTCCTACGCAGCGCAAGTTTGTTTCAAAATGGTGCCACGCCCCCTTTAACGCCCACAATCGCTTATATACGATTTTAAAAATTTAAATATTTCGGAAAAGTAAAAATGCAGTTTTATCGTGTTTATCAATACCTATCGAAATGTATCTCCCTCGCACTCCCTTTACCTGAGTAACGGGTATCTGATAGTCGGGGCACCCGACTATAGCGATCTCTCTTGTTTTTAATTAAAAAATATTTAATTTCATACATTAACATTTACAAGTATTTTAGGTTAATACATAATATGTTTTATATCGTTAAATATAGGTATACAAAATAAAAATAACAAAAATATTAATTCCAATAACCTGCACAATAAAAACTACTTGTTTACCACACCAATATGAAAATAACATTATTAAGAATTCTGGAAAAACCAGTTATACAAACTCAGCTCGGCTGCACCTTTTGGCATAGCCACGTCTACATACAGAGTGCATACATTTAATAATTGCACTTTATCGAAGCACTACAGAAATGCCAGCTCACAAAGGCAAAAGTCGAAGAAAAGAACAAGTAACGAAGTCGAAAAACCAACGACACGTGTAGGGGATTCCCCATTGACCACGTAGCTACTCCCCAAATCTCTTGGATAAATTATAGTCCCAACGAGGCACAACTGGCAACGTCGAAGACATGTTAGTTACAACTTTGCAGCATTTTATATGTTTTGCCATGGCATATGTACACACAATTTATGGTTCCTCTTGGATTTCAATGCGATTGGGATTTGAGTTTGTGGGAACAATAGGAAGAGAATTTTATTCAAATTAGAAGTGGGTTTTGTTTTGGAAGTTTTTTAATTAGTTATATTGTATGGTAGGTTTAACAGGCTTATAAAGCTATTGATAGAGAAACATTATTGAAAAGTTATTATTAAGAAAACATTAAAAATTCGTTTTTGATAATTTTATCAAAAATTTCTTAAAAACTAACGTAATCAAGCTTTAACTTATCGTTAATTTAATACAAATCTGACTGACAAAAATTAAAATAAAAGATATTAGTTAGTACAATTTGCGTTTCAAATTACTTAGTCAATTAAACCAAAGAATGAAATGTAACGTATTTAAACAAAATGTAAAAACACAAAGTTAACTAAACTTAAATTTAATAACACAGGTGTTTATTAAACAAATTTATTTTAAGAAAATAATAAGAGGGACATAACATAAACTTAGTTTACTAAACATGAATGATTGACCGAACTCCACTCGTGAATCACCTAAGCCTTTGGCTCACTCATGGCAAAATAATCCCCTGAGAGAATTCCATCTTTCACATAAATACAGACATTCTGTTACACTTGCCCACGTTCCTAGCCATTTTATTCACCGGGCTAACGGTTGAACAGCTCCAATCGTATCAATGTCCATTCAGACATTTTTTGGCTTGATTGTTTTGGGATTTCCCATTGAATTCGCTGCACAATGTGCCGCAATTAGTCAGCTACCTGTACTCACCTCACACCCTACATCCCAATCTTGGATTCATTTAATAAATATGAAACTGAAAGGTTTTTGAGAGCTCTATTTTTGCCTGATCCCTCAGCGGAACAGGATTCGTTTGCTGGACTTCCGGCAGTTGTTGGAGTTTTTACCAGCCAAGCTATGTGGAATTTTCCACCCTTGTTGCACCACATGTCGCATACTTGTCCTGCTTCGCTTTTTGTTTAGTCTTTATTTGTCATGTTGCTGCTAGGACATAATCGCTTCCACGTGACGGACAACTATTTGAGACTTCTACCCAAGCCCCTCCACAGGAAAGCCCAAAAAAATTGATGACCCGTTGTCGGGTTTGGGGACTCAGTTTTTCTGGCTTTTTGGTTTTTTTGTCATTTGGCTTTTCATTAAACTACCCCAGAATTAATTAATTTGCTTTGTTTTGGGTGTGTCACTCTTCGGGGGCTCCAATTTGCCCCTGTTTTTTATGCTGCTGCTAATTCTGCACTCATTTAAACGTGTTTAACTAATGAGCTGTACACGAAGGTTGAGCTTGGGGGCCAGACATAATTACTTTAGGTCTAGTGCCAATTGAGCATGAGTAAGTCGTTGATTAAGGAGTGGAAAATGCAGAGCTGGTTTAAGTGTAAAAGTTCATGAATATGATGGGAAAATAATCGCATGGATATAAAAATAGATAGTTTAAATGCATTTTACATTAATTGAAAATAATAAATAAATATATATTTAAGACTTCTTAAATTATAATAAAACTTGGTATTTGTAAACCAGTTTTGTATACAAATAATTATAAATATTTAAAATTATAATGTTATATTGATCTTATAAAATAAATATAAATAACTTTCTTAAAATAAAACAGTTTTATGGAATAAATAATTAAAACCGCTCAAATTCTACAAATAATATGTATGCCGATTGAATTCAAGTCCAACGATTTACACTTTTTTAAGTTCATTACTTAGTCCATTATTTTTATTAAGCTCTGCGCGTTTATCTCGTGTACTTTGTGGTAATGCCCACAATCAAGTCCTGCCTCTCATGGACCACCACCTGTTGATGGAAAACCACAGAGACATAAAGAGACAGACACAGCTCCCAGTAAACCACAAGCACTCCCACATTTTCGATTGATATATTAGCTGCCCATTCATCTTGTGTTTATCAGGATGGCCATTGTGGTCAATCAGCGGCTCATTTTCGCACTCATGGACAAATCAATTTAATTACTGAGCACCCAAAGCTGTCGAGCTTTATGCCAAATGTTGGCCAATCCCTTGCAGAGATGCCGGTCTAGACTTCTGCCCGTTAAATCTCTTAGTTTACATTAGGTCAAGAGTGCATCGAATAGGTTTATCAAAAAAGAAAAGAATTGTTAATCCTTAGCGTTCGCTCAAGAGCATATGTATCCATTTTTTGTTGATTTTAACGTTAACCGAGTTTGGATGAACACAATAAAGATGATTTAAAGGCCCTAAATAATGGCAGGTAAATAAATTTATTGCGTTATTTGCACATACTTT